TCCCCGCTTATAGGCGCGCGGCGGGCGGAAGCGCGTCGGGAGGGGCTGGACCCGGGGCCTAAATTTAGCCGCGGTATAAAAGCGGCGCCGCCGCCTCCTCGCGGCGCCCGGCGACAGCGCAGCGCGGGGACGGAGATGGGAACCTGGGCCGGAGTGGGCAGAGGGACACAGGCACTTCAGCACCCGTGGAGCTCCGCGGTGACGACGGGGTCGCGGTGCCCACACACGCCACTGCCGAGACCCCTGCAAAACGAAACAAAACAAAAAGGAAAAGCTATAGGCACTGTCTTGTGATTCCAAGTCCGGGCAATAGGGTCACAAGCTCAAACTCAGCCTTGGCAACTTAGTGACTTGGAAACCTTGTCTCAAAATAAGAAAATTGGGCTGGGAAGATAGCTCAGTAGATTGACCGCTTGTCTGGCAAGGAAAAAAAAAAAAAGAAAAAAAAATTAAAAGGCCAGGGATGCATCCCAGATCCCTGTGTTTAGCCCTACCCCACACCCACACCCATCACAAAACAACTGGGCCGGGCTCCCAAGGTCTCTGGTGCCCCTGCTTCAGGGAAGCTAAGGCAGGGTGGCCGGGCACCTGCAGGTTGGGTCCTGCAGGCCTCAGTGACAATCATGTGCCCCACCCACAGCAGCTATCTGGCGAGGCCCAGGGGATGCAGTCCTGGGCCATGCACTGACCACATATGAAGCAGAGGAAGACACAGTGTGGAGAGAGGAGGGGAGCATTTGACACACCAGGAGGAGGCCTGCGGGGGCTGAGAGGGTGCTAGAGGGAGAGCAGCGCCTGTAGGGCCAAGGGCCCTTGAGTGGGACACTGTGTGGGTGTCCTGGGGCACTGGCCTCCTGCCCCTGGCAAGCCCACTGGAGGGGCCCTGGGGGAGGGGAGGGGGATGCCTGATGGCCCGCACATTCTAGGGGTGCGGGAATGTCTGCTGTCCCCAAATAGGCCCGAGGCATGGAGGTGGCCAACTCTGACCTGGAGCTTGCCACTCTGCCTCTCTGGCTGGTGTCACTGCATATGCAGCACAGGTATCAGGAGGTCACTGGGGTCCCGTACCACAGGTCTCTGTGCTTGGCCTTTCCATAGGTAGGCACAGTGTGGGCTGCCGGGCCTCCTGCAGTCTTCAGAGCGTCCGGATTATAATAGGGAAAGTATTGGGTTACAATGGTTTTTCGCAATCCTGGCGATCCCACTCAGGACCTTTGCAGGGAGCTATGTCCTCGTTCTTTTTTATTTTATTTTTGTTTTGAGACAGGGTCCTGCTGTGTACTGCAGACTGGTCTTGAGCTCACGCCAGGGTTACAGGAATGCACAGCACGCCCAGCTCTCAGGCCTTTATAAAACTTTTAAAAAATTTTTTACTTTCACGGTCTTTTCACTTTCAGAAATCGAACTCAGGACCTCGTGCTTGCCAGGCAGGTGCTCGTGCGGCTGAGCTAAATCCCCGGCCCTAAAACTGCTTTCAAAGTTTGTATGAGCGTGTGCACACAATGGTCACATGCCACGCTGGCGCATCTTTGGGTTTTCAGACGGGCTCTCGCTAAGCTGTTAAAGTGCCCAGGCTCACCTGGAACTCGCTGTCCTGCCACCTCAGCCAGCTCAGTGCTGGGAGTAAGGCTCATGCCACCACATGCAGCTCTGGGAATGAAAGATAGGCCACAGCCTGGTGATGATCTTCAGATCCATCTGTCAAAGGATGCATCTGATAAGGAGCTGGAATCCAAGGTAGATAAAGAACTACAGATAACGGCTGGGCTGGCTGTGAACTCTGAGGCCCTCCGGCCTCAGCCTCCTGAGTGCTGGGATTGCACGTGCCTGCTACCATTTCTTCTTTATTTTTAATTTTATTTATTATTTATTTGCTACAGGGTCTCACTACACAGTTCAGACTCTAGTGATCCTCCTGTCTCAGCCTCCCCAGGGTTGGGATTGCACATATGTACCACTACCACGCCTGGTTTCAGGACCCGCATGACATGGGGTACTAAGGATCGAACTTGGGTCCTCATGCTTGCCAGGCAGGTGCTTACACTGCTGAGCTATCTCCCCAGCCCTACCATTTCTTATTTAGTAAGGGGCTCAGGTACTGGAGCCCAGGGCCCCCGCACAGGAGGCCAGTGCTCACCTCAGAGCTGTACTCCAAGCCCAGAATCCTCCTAGGCTTCCCGGGCTCCCCTGGAATTTGGAAACTTCCTGCCTCAGTTTCCTGAGTGGCAGGCATCTGAGTGCCTCTGGGTGTTGTTCCTCAGCTCCATGGTGTTGCTACAGGGTGTGGAGGGGTCTGATGTTGGTCGTCAGTCGTGAACAGGGGACCTGTGGCACATGCGAAGCTTTGCCTCCACCTGCTCCGGCCAGGCTATTGTCACGGGCTGGGGCAGAACTGCACTTCAGAGATGTTCGGTCAGTCTCCTGGAATCAAAGCACTCGGGAGGTTGAGGCAGGAGGATGACCAACCTGAGCTACATGTCTCAAACAAAACAGACCAAATGAGGGAGAGCACATAGCTATTTGGAAGCAAATGCGCACTGTGCAGGCACAGGAGGTGGCACTTGGCCTGTTATCCTGGGTTACGCTCACCGCCATCTGTGGAGAGGGGGTCAGTGGCAGAGGTTACTTCTTCTGCCTTCTCTTTCTCTTTTCTGCAGCAGAGTGGCGCTGGCTCTGGGCCTGCAGTCCCAGCCCCTTCTACTGTTATTTTTTGTTTGGCGAGAGGGTCTCACCAAGTCCCTGTGTTGCCCAGATTGGGCTCAGATTGAAGATCCTCCTACGTCAGCTTTCTGAGTGTTGGGACACAGGCATGTGCCATTGTCCTCTCGACAGACCCATTCTTGAGACAACCTCTAATCTGCCCCACAAGTCTCACCCCTACATCTTTCCCAGTGAGGGTTACATTTCTCCAGGAGTGGCAGGTTAGCTCCGGGGTGAGTGCCAGCCTAGCCTGAGAGAGGCCTTGGGTTCTAACCCGGCGCAGCTGAGGCATTTCGGAGAGAACACACCAAGAAGAGCCAGGGCTGAGATGCTGGTGTCACAGAATGAGTGGAAGTCCATCACACTGACCACACCAGCTTCCAGCTACGTGGGAGGCTGAGGCAGGACCACTCACGCTCAATGCTACCCTGGGCAATGGACAGTGGCAAGACCCTGCCTCAAAAAATTAAATAAGGGGGGCCGGGGAAATGGCTTAGTAGAATAAGCTCTTGCCTGGCAAGCTCAAGGGCCTGAGCGGCCTGCCTCTTTGTTCCCAGGGGACTTGGAGTCCCTCCAGTGGTCACCACCACCTTGGGTCCTGCTGGAGCCCAGTGGGCCCAGCCCCCGTGTCATCCTTGTTCCACAAGCCGGTGCCGTTGTGGAAAACCCAGGTCCCCCTGGCTGTTTTCCTCGCAGAGGATTTTCCAGCGTCACTGAGCCGGCCAGGGCGCTGGTTGTTTTGGGAATCTCCGTGGGAACGGGGGTTGGAGCCAGGAAAATAAAAGTGATTTGAGGAGGAAGGAAGAGGCAAGAGAACAGCAGGCTGGTGGAACTCTGTGTGGCTGTGCCCGTGGGGAACATGCGACACTGTGACACAGCGGGTGGCCATCACATCGGAGTCATAGGGGCTGGTCGCTGCTTGGCTACAGGTTGGTGGTTCTCTCACATGTTGCCTAGGCTGGCCTCGAGCTGGAGGCGATTCTCCTGCCCCAGCCTCCTGAGCGATGAACCCCAGACCTACTTGGAGCGCTCGATTGGTTGTCAGCAGCAGGGTCCAGCCTTGCTGGGACCCCCACCCAGGGCTGTCCTGCTCCCCGAGCCTGGGCTGTGGGCACCCTCCCGCGCTTTGCTAACCCATCCCCCTCCCCCAAGCTGCTGTGGTGTCCCCGGCACTAAAATAGACGCGTTTATTGCAGACCTGAGCTTAACAACCAGTGTTCTCAAAGATGTTAAAAAAAAACTTTTCCACTAAGAGTGGTTTCTGAAAATCTGTGTGAGAGGCGCCTCCCCTTTCCCGCCCTCTCCTCCCTGTTCTCCCCCAGTAGAGGGGAGGCTTTGGGGCCATAGTGTCCCGGGCTGAGTCTGGGGTTGCAGGACTGGAGGGGGCAGGACCAGAGCCCACTGTTGTGCCGCCGCTGAGCACACAGACCTCTTCCATGCGCCAGGGACAATTCCTGACTCTTGGCAGCAGATGAGGGACCCTTGGCACACATGGCGCGGCCCACCTTTAGTTGAGCTCTGTTTTTACTTTATTTTTGTGCTTGGAGACAGGGCCACACTGTATCATATGCTGGCCTTGGAACTCGCAGGCATCCCCTTGCCTCAGCCCCCAAGTGCTGAGACGACAGGCATGGGCCCCCTGGCCCAGCTCTGACTTGCTTGAGTCAAGGTCTCACTGTGTTGCTAAAGCTGGCCCCAAACTCCCAGACTCCAATGATCCTCCTGAGTAGCTGGGACTACGGGTATGTGGCACCCAGCATTTGAATTCAAAGGAAATAAATACAGATTTCCAGGGGTTCCCACAAGCCCCCAAGATCTGGACCCCAAGGCCTGGCCTGACACCTGTGCTGGGCC